CGTATGCAGCTAAGTAATTGAGTACAAATTCTCCTATATAAGTATTTGTACTTACTTATAAGTGTATATATATATATATATATATATATATATATATATATATATATATATATATAGGTTACGTCGATACATAAGCTGCATTTCTTTAAGTTTTTCAAAAAATAGTCTTAAAAATTAATCCGTCCTTAACTTTTCGACGAAATATTAAATGATTGCTCTACGCTGACCGACTCGTATAGTTCCCTAAACCACCGGTATATATCACTCCCCGACTAATCAATGGATGTAGAATTTAATGTTTATACACTTTTGCAAATATTGTGATGATAACCTATTGCATACTGCTTGAAAAAATGGTTCTGCTAAAATGGTGTCCCAAGTGGACAGCCACACAAAAATGACACCACATCTAGTAAAAGCATGTTAAATAAGAAAGTTAGAAAAAAGAATTTTATCAAAATACGTTTATTCAATAAAGACGTCTTGGTTTTCTTCGAATAATGCAATCAAAAGGTTAACGACATTTACGTAACGGCTTATTTATTCTGGTACTAGAAAACCTTAAAGCATGGAACTTAATTGCATCCGTAAAAGGTGGTTTGCAGCACCCTCTCGGTTCTAGAATATTTTCTTCTTCAAAGGCTTAAATTTTGAAAATGATGGTAGCGCCTGATATACAGTATAGTAAGAGCGTACATTGAAAATAGGCTTCTAAGACCAACATGATAATCTTTCGCAGATGCTTGCGAAAAGAAAATCTTCCGTGTTTTTATTTCTAATACGTTTTCGATAGTTTTAGCGTTTTCACCCTATCATGCAAGGTTTTAAGCTTGCAGGCCTAGATACTGCAAAGCTAATAGCTAGCTCACTGTGTAAGCATCTCTTTCTCGAGCTTTGATTATAATTAACCATTTTATAAATAGTTATTTTCGAAAAGTAGTTTGCACTCTATGGTGGTTGCCATAGTGGAACCTTTACCCAACAGAGCCCGCATAAAAAAGGCGAGTTTCATTTGTTCACTTCCAGCTTCTTAGAAAGATAAGGATGTGGAAAAATATCGCGTCGTTGCTAAATAGTATGTGTTTAATATTCAGATTTGTCCTTTCGAAGTTATGTAATATCGTACGTCGAAATTATGTAGTATCTTTATAATATCGTACTTACACAATTCAAGTTTCGATGGATATTTAAGCTAGTTCAGCGCAAAGACTTCGTTTCGTACTAAAGCCAATGCTACAGGGCAGTACCAAACGTAAAACTCAAGACGTTTCGCGAAAGTCAATCATTAATTAGATTTTAACTTATCAGCCCGCTGGCAGATCTTCTTGCGAACAAAATCTCGACTCCCAACAGGTAATAAGAACTCTTATTTCTAAAATAAGTCTAATGCAATCTCGTAACTGTCGTCGCTGGTTATACAGTTTGTGGCGAACCCATTTTTTTGCCTGGGTCATTATTTTTTCTATAGCACACAGGCCATATTAAACTACTTATAGTTAAGCCACTCGCCATTATGTTTTGAAGCATTTTCGTCTAGCCTGACTGACTGACTGGCTGGCTGACGTTCTTCGTCCTAAAACGTCTCGGAATGTCCTAGCCGTATTGTTTGCCTTTTCGTAGTGTAGTAACAAAATGCCAAAAATACATAGCTAGCCATATGGCCTTGCCTGTTGTCATATAAACGAAGGGAATGATGCAGTATTAAGAGTACACTTTAGTCTGTTTGTATCTAGATTCTAAAAATTTCATACTATTATGATTTGAAATCAACGTCTCCTTGCCAAACAGGGCGGTGAAACGAAGTGACCCATATAGCTTCGTCTTATATAGCACATATATGTACAACAGGCCAACTTGGAATTTTCAGGACGTACACAGAAATGCTTTAAAATCCCCAATCGCAGAAAAAGGCATCTGTATATCGGTTCTAGCATATTTGTTATTCAGTTTGTCTGATAAAGGAAAAAATCTTCAACAGAGGACATCACTATAATATATATAGATATCATTAAAGTCGATGACGGTTGCCATCTCACGATACTTATTAAGATATATTGATGCTTATCACTAATATTTTATTTAGCCTTATATAAGTACAAGAAGATTACTAAAAGATAATTTCTCTAACTGGTCTGCTATTGATTTAAATTCTATTTACAGATAGTGGCGATGCCACTTCGATGGTCTAGGATGCCGCACTCACATTATCAACTAGCTGTCTATTTTCTCCTTAGTATCGAACTTAATATATTGATCTGAAGTGTACCTTTACATTTTACGTGGGAAAAACAATTGAACATATTGGCCCAAAAATTGACGTATAAAGGGAACATAGTGGCAAAGGTGCATTTACAGAAAATAGAAATATAGAGTGTGTTAGATATTATTCTTTGTCGCTAAATCATGTGACTCTTTCGGGTTATCCACTACGATAATTTAGTGCTACTTCAAAACATCATGAATCACAGATAACATATCATGTGAATCCGCAGTAAAGTTTCTTTAACATCCGGATTACCGTCTTGGTGGCTTCGCTCTCGTCTGATTTATATTTGCCGTCTTTTTTCAATCCGCTCTGTATCTTCAATTGTCCAGTAGAGCATCAGTGTCGACTTCTATTTTTTCAATATTCTATTATAATATTTATGTACGGTTTGCATATATACGCGTTGTTTGTACGGTTTGTATAGTTACAGCTAGTTCTAGAAGATGGTTATGGTTATAGAAGGAGTTGTATTAGATCTCAAGGATAAGGTGGAGAACGGTTACATGTTATAAAATGATGATTCGGTTAGCAATAGACTTTATAATTAACTAACCCATGCCGTATATTATGCAAAGATTAATTCAAACGTGCCTTGCTTCTTCTTGAAAAAATCACCTTATCTGATGGAATGGACCTTTTAACATTTTTTACAAACGTATTACAAACGTATCGTCATCCTTTTGCTCTCTATCATCACAGGCTATCATGGTAATCAATTGGCGTAATTCATATCGTGACTGGACCACTTACTATTAATTACTGTCACCGTGTACGAAAGGCCTAAAACTGAAGGTAGCTTTTCAGAGGAAACCAAGATCATCCTTGCTTTCGTGACGCATAGCTTTCAGAAGGATTTATACTAACTATTTCCGTATAATGTTATATCCAATCTACAAGGAAGCAACGATATGATCTAAATATGAAGATTATTTCGACTAACTGAAGCTGGGAAAGGTTTATGGGTTGCCAGTCACCTTCTTTCTTTCAAAATGTCCAAACGAACACATCTTCACGGCCCCGATTTAATAAAATTGTGTAAACATGTCGAGCTATATTCACTATGGGACATTCTCGGAGGATCAGAACTCTTAGACACTTCAAGAGCTTTTTGATTTAAATAAAATGTTCGTTCGAAACGCCGTCTACGGCTTCGCAAAGAACACCGTGCCAAGGAAGTAACGCTCGAAAAGAAAGCTCATGCGGCACGATTATTTTAAGCCAACGATTCTTGAAAAATGAATATTTGGGTAATAATGGATGCGAAGCATGTCGCTCAAGATGCGTGAATTATACTGACATCTTTTCCGGAAATCTACTTCAGCATCTTTAGGACAGTACCTGAAGTTGGTCCTTCAAGAAGAATTGTACAAAGAATCAGTATTTAGTAGTATTTGAAGGGCCTAATGGGTTTGGCCGTCTGGTTATTGTGTAAGAGGAGAGGTGCATTTGGTACTCGAAAGCCCCCGCGAGTTTGACCGTCTGGTTATTATGGCATGCAAAATAGCCATCTGGTACTTGAAACTCCTTGCAAGTTTGACTGCCTGGCCATTGTAGCAAAGAAGAAAGCCATCTAGCGTATGAAGGCCCTAACGAGTTTGGCCGTCTCGACGTTATGGCAAGAAAAGGACCCATTTTGTACTTGGAAGCCCTTACGGGTTTACAAGTGCGTGAATTACTTTTAATTGAATATATCTATTTCTTAGCGTATGTAATTTAAGGCCAATTTGAGGTGAAATGAAAAACCCAAGTAACTTGAAAAAAATTCTATCATATATATCCAAATAGAGTATCAGCTAAGTATCGAGCCTGGGACTTTTCAATTTTCATACAAGTCCAACACAGCTATTATCCTTCACATGTGCTAGAAGTATCATTGATAACGGTCATGTTTATTCAATATAATCAATGTTTACCACGATTACAGTTTTAACTTGACACCTAAATCGCTCACTAATTATCTTCATATTTAGATATTTTTTGTGAATATGCAAATATTTTAATAGCAGCCATGTGTCAAACGGTGTTGATAGATATGAACTCCTTAGTGTTGTGGACTTCACCTAGCGCAGAGGATTGAATAACGGATCATTACGAAAATAATGGATTTTTTTTTACGACAGATGTTGTTGTTCCTGTCAAGAAACAACAGCTCTTCCTCTGGCAGCGCGAAACGAAGAGAGCACCATGTAACTTAGGTGCCATATACTGTATATATATCGTTGATGCCCATACAAAACCCAATCTTGTGGGCTCACCTACCTAGACGTACTCTATCGTCAAGAACCCGAGAAAAAATTTTTTTTTTATAACTGCAAAATTATAATTAATCCAGGACGGGCAAATATTTTAACGGTCGGCAGCCATGTCTGACTGGGAACGGTCAAATGGATTAATAATTATTTTTGAGGGTTTTGACTCGAGAAAGGCAAACTGTGCCCGTTTATTCTTTGCTGACTAGTCCTCAGAACTTTAGAAAAACATGACATAGAGCGGTAGCGTAAAAAGAAAGGTGCTTTTCAAGTAATAGTGATATAATTATCAAGTAATAATAATTTTACTACAACAACGATAATAATAATAATAATTTTCCAAGCTATATTCGAATCAAGGTATACGGATTGGTTTATTCCAAGTGCTCATTTGATCTTGTCCCATTTTATAGACACATGATAAACTAATATTTGGACATTAGTTCATTTTAATCGTGCCAAAATATCTTTTAAATGTTACTTACCATAATGACCCGTGTCGTATTGTGGCTGGTGCCTCCATCTTGGCTTTCAGATCGCATCGCACAATCAGTAAAACTTGTCTACAGTGTTTAATATAAGTAGATACGTCTATACTGTTCGGAAATAGTCTTTTATCTTTCGAATCGCATATTTTTAATTGCCATTCCTGCTTGCAACGCTATCTAGAAAATTTGGCACGTTTGCTTGGTGGCCTTTTAAGCTAAATTAGAGTGCGCAATTAGATACCAAAATGCTATAAAGCAGTACTGATAATACTGTCGTCGTATATCTCTATCGATCTATTATCTAACTGGCAATATTCTAAATATTTATGACAGTAATAACAGCTTTTTGCGATATGTACTAAAAGTAAATATTTTTTAGCTATACATTTATTCTCTAAAAAACACCATTTAAATACACGTGCCGTTACAAAGCAAATAAGCAATAACTTCTTTGCCCCCGTTTATGCAAACGAAGCACTGCGAGCAGAGGAACTTTTCTGCGAAAGCTGGCAGATATACGTTGGACAAATAAATGTCATCATTTGCGATGAAACGAGAGGACTTTGCGTTTTAGGTATCCAATGGTAGTGGGTAACTATGTTTTCCTAGAGGTACAACAAGGTGACAACATGTGTTGCTGACAACAGTGTTTTCTCTTATAATATAAAGCGTCGTTTACTAGCGATATTTAACGAAGTTTTGTGCCTGCATGGAGAGAACGAGACCTGGGAAGGGAAGTCTGATGGCGTTGGTGTCAGCAGCAACAGTGGCTTGAACAATCTGCCATCAATAGTAGTTGAAATCTTGAGAATTTCTTATTCTTTATGCTGCCATTGGCGCTCGTGTCGTGTTTCGCTGCTGGCGTTCTAATGTAAGTTGCTACCGAAAACGAGGCTTTGGTACCGGAGCGGACATTCACTCATCACAGACGTGTGAAGTTTGTAGAACGACATTTCTACAACTGAGCTCTTCGAAGTAACATTGTCATCTAGCGCAGTTTACATATGTAAACAGTGACGTACGTTCGTAGCAGAAGAAAACTCAAGAACTTTGTAGATATGGTTTCGGGTAAGTAAACCAATACATGTGTGAAGACTGATACATTCATTGGTGTTTAGCTTAGGTAACACTAATCCAGAAGGGTCTTGATCTGCTTAGGCAGGTACTTACTACTTAGCATAGTACTTGTTAAAGCTATGGGTTGCACTTGTTTCTTTGCGCATACTCTCTATTCCGGATAAGACAAAGTCTCTAGGATCTAGGTTGTTATATGTCGTTCTAAACAGAGAACAGGCCAAAACGTTACTGTTTATTATTACACAAAAATTATAAAAAAATATTATTATTATTATTATTATTAAAAGACACTCGTTTCAGAAGGAGTGCTTCAAGAACTCTTGGAAAAGGCTCACGAAGCTAAAAAGAATTCGTACTCACCGTACTCTAAGGTATGTTGACGAAAAGGTATGCTTCCTTTCGCCGCGAATATCATAACAAAATTACGTCTCCGGGGATGTATTAACGAAGTAAATCTTCAGTGAATCGTTACTGATCACTTCAATTTGTTTTCTATGTATTCCAAGGAACGTACCAATTGGAACTAGAAGAAATGTTATTTTGTTTGTAATTTGTTTGTAGAATAATGTTTGTAGAAAAAGTCTATATGATATGTACGGTCAGTGATTTTGAACTATACGAACCGTTTTGCTTGCACTTACTTGACCAGTTACTACGTTCATTCACTCCGATGGTTTACGATTTGACTTAAAACTTTAAGTGTTGTTATAAGTGGCGCGTTGCCAGTTCACAGTGGAGTCGCTTTTTTACAATGATACGCTATACGACAGAAAGTTTTGTACGGTTGACTAGTATCGTTGACTATCGAGGAGCTCGCGGATTTGTTAATCAAGGCCTACATGAAACGTAGCTAAGTTTTATGCTAACGCTCCAGCTAAAATCTAATAGTTAACTGGAGCACACCAGTGCTCCATTGTCCGAATGGAATTTTTTGCTTTAAAGATTTGCTCCATACTAGCTATATGGGAAATTAGTAGTTTCTTCTTTAGCAGCTCATGTTTTTTAACGTCTTGCCATATCGTCACGTAGCAATGTATAGATCTAAATATTAAACGCGGAAGAATATGTCAATAAACATGTTACTAACACTAACAGTTCGATACAGGTTACGCGCGTATGTCTCATCAGCATGTAACCCCTTGTAATTAAGTGACTATACTCTGATTGGGCTAAGTTAATAATGGTTTGTATTTGTTAGGTAACTGTTGGGGCAGCTGTTCTGACAGAATGCGGAAGGATTTTTTCAGGGACGAATGTTGAGTGCGCAAGTTACGGGCTAGGTGTTTGCGCTGAAAGGGGCCTATTGACGCACGCTGCTTCTCTAGGATTTCGTCGTTTCAAGGCCATCGCTGTGGTCTCGTTCGTAATCATACCCCTACAATTTATCAATAATGTATAAATTTGTAATATATAACTATTTGTATGCATGTCATTCATCCAGTACTTTAACTGAATTAGACATAATCAACAAGCCTTTTAATTATGTAGTCTAGACTATGTACTGTGCCGTCTCGGCACCTAACTTAATAACCATGTTTCGTAATTATTCTAACGCGTTTATACTGTTATTTACAGAAACCTCCCTGAGATATCACCGTGCGGCGCGTGCCGACAGTTCATCGCTGAATTTGGCTACGATATCGAAATTTATATGGAGTGTCCTGGTGACAGTATCTGTAAAGTACGAAAGAAAACTATAGCCGAGTTATTGCCCCTTGCGTTTTTACCTTCGACTATTGCCAAATAAGCCTTCCTTGGAAAAATTGGAAATTGCATATTAATAGTAAACAAGAAGCTTTCCAAGTTTCCTCCTATATGTTGAATTTACTTGAAACAGGCTGAAAATAAATCTGTCTATCTCAAAAAAACTAGACGTGGCCTACCTATTATCATTTACGATAATAGCAGGAAAAACTAAAACTGAATTTCAATAATCTGTAGATAATAACAAAAAGAAGACCGAGTAGTCTGAAGTCTTGGTGGAACTAATTTCCAATAAGTAAAATAAAAGAGGTGTAAATTTTACGCGCTCGTTGTCAACAACAAAAACATTTGCAATTTCAAATTTAAGTCACCTGAAAAACCTAATGTTCTAATTTATAAAATTTCTGAACATGACTCATTCGATATACTCTTGGGGAAGTTGTAAGTTCCATTACGCGAACAAAGTAATACTTGTGCTTATTGTAAACGTGTATATTCAGGGTTCAATTGATTCGGCGTGAATGCTGCTCGGCGTGTAACACTTCGGTGTTCAACTTCTATACAAATCGTAGTAATAGGTCCTGATATTAATAAGTAGTGGTTTATTTCTTGGCAAAATATTACTATAGGTGCCTAGCACGTTTAAAGCGTTCGGTCAACACAGAAGTTGTAAGCGGAACGCCTTAGGGGTGGTAGGCACCTATAGTAGTATTTTGCCAAGACATAAACGACTACGCTCAGGACTTATGTATATGTCCTTAAGAGAGATATATTATTACAAGAATATTGATTAATATTTACATTAATGCACAGTGAACTGGAACTCGCAAAATGTTTCACAACCTAAAATGAATTCTCTTGAAATCTTAAAGTCAACGTACGGAACGACATCCAAGTCGTATTATCGCATAGCCAATAAGCTAAACAACAAAAATTTATGGCAAAAATTTAATTGAAAAGTTGTTAAAATTGGGAAACAAAGACGAAATTGTACTGTCATTCCGTATCGCAATATCGACTACACTGTAGTTTTCGAGATAACGGTGAAAACGGAAGTCCTTGTTCCTCATAGAAAATACCATATTCGATTCTGAATGCAACACGCAGTATCGTGAAGGGAATATGGTTAAGAATTTTTAACCTGCAACTGAAGCCCAGCAATCAGTTCCTATGTATTGAGTTACTCCGGATCTGAACCATGTGGCCTTACTACCCTGGAGAGGGCCCATAACATAATTGAATTCACATTAGTCCCACGCCGCAATCCGTGTCAAGCCCCCGTGGTAGAGTCCATATTGATTTTTTTGATGAATAGGAAGTATAGGCACAGGACGCTTGTCCTTTACGGACGAAGAGACTTATAGACGAGACGTGTTGTTTCGTTGGGACACAATTGGCACGACGTAGACGGTGGTAACTAAGTTTGGTGCTAAATTTTATTAATTAATTAATATAAATTAAATCCGGTTTCTCATCCTGGTAGATACAAGGAAAAACAACAGTAAATCAGATAGGGCTACCTGAAAATTTCACAGTTACTTCGCTCTTTGTCCGCATGATTAGATTAAGTCCGATTTTTTCTTCGAATGGCGACAAAGGGTGTATTATATATTAGGATCGTATAAGCGAATCCAGCGGACTAAAAAGGGATAGCCTTAACTAGTAATAAACTACATGCCGGGTGCAGATGAAATTTGGCTGGTAAGTGCTCCGGTCCCTAAAGAAACTTGTGAACAGAAACCAATTGAGTTTGCGACAGGAGCCATGAACTCGGTAGGATATACATCTTTTAGTCTCCAAAATAAACGCTTAGTGGTCAAGTTTTTATGCCTCAAAGGCCGCAGCGCTGTTGGCAGACATATTAGGAACGGACGTCTTTGGCGGAACCACAGCATGCGAATGGTATAACTGTTTCGCGAATGGTGCGAACGGATATTAAAGTGTTACGGACCAGCGAAGAAGAGACGAGGTGTCGGGACCCAGAAGACCAGAATGCATTACCGCTATTGAGAAGGCTTTTCACGAAGGTAAAGTTTAGATTAGTTTTAGAGTTATTCATCTTTTAGAGTTAGAAAGCAAAGATAGTTTTGCTAGCCGAAACTGGCTTTTTATATATAACATGTTACAGGACCATAATCTAAATACTATTACTACGGAAGCTACCCAAACACAAGTCTTCCGTAAATTGACTCCCGGCCGCATGAGAATATATGTGACATAACGCGCAAGTTGTGTATGGTGCATCGCAGAGGTTGTGTATAGCTTATTATGCGACTCACGGAAATTTAATCAGCAAGAAATCTGCCTCGGGTATCCGGTTGTTGCAAAAGAGGCACGGCTTAGTTTCTTTCTCCAGCCTGACAAGGATCACTCGAGATAACAGCGTCGCTTTGGAAAGAAATTTCGTTCATTGACAATGTCGAACGTTCGGACGAAAGGTTACGGTAATACTTGCGATAGACATCAGGGGGATTTACAACTAAGAGATACTCGCCAAAACTGGAACAATGCATGCAGCCCGTTATCTCGAGTTCCTTGAAGAATTCATGGACCGTTGGCATGACAAGGTCCAGCAAACGAAAGCACGTAGTCTGGTCACTTAAGAACACCGCGAGATCTCGTCGTCATGTCTTAATGACTTCCTAGATTGAACAATATAATATTCAGCATTGACCTTAACTCACTTATCCTTTCAGTATGCTCCTAAGTCTGTGTGATCATGGGGTTTTCGGTATACTAAGAACGACAACTGGCGGGCAAGCAGATCCCACTCTCGATTTACTCCAAGAAACCATTGGTAAAAAAATTACATACAAGTACAGAAATGATAGCTGTAGTACTTTCTAAAAGCTGCTAGAGGGCTAGGAGAAGTATGTAAAGGATTGGAGAACACCTCTAACACATCAAAATTACTAGCCTAGGCCAAAAAAAATTCACGCAGGATTTATCACCACCTAACAGTAATTCCTTTACGCCATCTTAAATCGACGGTCTACAGTATTTTTCAAGAGTAAAACAACGGTTCGTTTCGGAATTTTGGAGAATACCCAACAAGGATAACGTCGTCTTGCCCACTCGTTCTATTAAAAAGGCGTTTGCACATCTGTAAAGGAAACATTTGGAAAAGGCCTGCAAGCCTCTTAGTTCCCATATTGAAGCTGTAGTAACATTATGGTTGCTATATTGAAAAACATGACTGTCAGGGACGACACTTAGTACATGTAAAATAACCCTGATATATTTGCCGTTGTTTAGAAATAGTTTTTAAGACGAAGTATAGGAAGAATTCAAAATATACACGAGCTTCCCTCTGTATATATATATATATATATATATATATATATATATATAAAGCCCAACTTTATTTTACTAGCAACAATAGGGCACAGTCAGATTACGCTCCTATATAACAAACAAGTATCATATAATTTGCAGCTAATAAAACCCAACACAAGTTCAGATAGTGTCCAGATACGTTATATATATATATACACTTTTTACATAATATATAACAAGTTTAGGCTATTTTAACTGTCGCATGTTATTGTCGAAACGATTTGATGTTAATTGATCTACTCTTCTTTTAAATGTATGACTGTATTTTGGAGCGTCCCTGATTTTTGTCCTAGATTCGACATTGACACTTCAGGTGTGTACTCATGAGAAGCAAGCTTAATGATGTCAGCAATCAAGACGCCAGGTTCTATTCAAAAGGGAACGGGAATGGCATCGCATTATCCAGAAGTAGTTTAACAAATATCTTTGCTACGACTGTTTACAAATCCATTACGGCCAGTTGACCGCTAACACAATTTTTAGGCCAGTCTTATAATGATAGAATAGCCCCTTATTCAACAAATTTATCTAACATGAATGTGTCCTATTCCGGTATATATTCCGGATCATAGTGCATACATAGAAGGAAAAACGCAATAGATATGGCTTTTTTCATTCGAAACACTGTCAACGATAGCAGCAGTTCGATCAGTAATGCGTGGTTCTAATAGACGGACCTAAGTTGTTTTTACGAATATTTTCATGTATCGCCTAGGCACAACTACTCATTTATTTGTAGACTTCACCTTGGATGATTGGATTCATTGCCTGTTCTATGTTACCATTTCAAGGGTTGTTACTATGCCATTTAGATCCACAATAATGAACAGGAAAGCCTGGGGGCTAGTACTTCATCTGCGATTTAACTGCGTGCAGCTTCTCGTTGAGCAATAAGGTGGAGATCGAGAATATCGCCAGTATGATTTTGTCTGCTTTTTTTATGCTTAATGATTGTGTCCAGATCCTGATGTTTCTTCTGCTGAATATATTTCCTCATTTTTCGAAACAGGTTTAGTGAAGCTTTCGAAGAAAACCTAAGGAAGTTCTAAGGAAGAAAAAGAAGGACTCTTCAAACACAGCAGGACAGTATAGCCTTATCAATCCCTCGACTCTACGTTTGCGAAAGCCTGAAGCATATTTACCAAACTCGTTGTCTGCATCACTGATGCATGTCTACCCCAAAGGCGATTGCAGCAACCGTGTTCATTCCGTAAGCTTTGAAAAACGTTTACAGTTTCATTTTATTTTTCTGGGTTGTAGAAGCTGCCTCAGTTTTGCCTAAAGATTGTGAAGCTACTCTGTAAAATTTTGAAATTATTCCTCACATCTTAAAAAAAACCAATCTATATCCCCCATAGCAGTACCCACAGCAGTCGATTGCTGTGAGAGTAGCTGACGGACCGTGAGATTCCATGGGCAATCTTCATTTTTAAACCCTAGAAACCTCTCAGAGAAATTTCTAAATTGTTCAACCAAGACTTCGCTGGCCACTTCGATGTCGGTGAGTTGGTATGAGCCAATATCTTATCATACTTCTTAACATCACGTTGTAGCAGTTGGTATATTGGCGATATACTGAACTTTCAGGACGCCCGATAGAAGAACCTACCTATAAAGGGGCTCCTACTGGACACCTTGTCTTCTTCAGAACAGATATATATTGCCGAGCCAACTGGTAATATTGACCACATTTCAAATAAGATCAGTAACATACATTTTTTTTGTTGTCTGATGATGCACTGTTAGCTACGCTACGTTGCTTAGACAACGTCTTAGGAGAGGACACTGAAAACAACGACCCTGGCGCCTATTGCCCCGTACTGCATCATCTGCAAGCCCTTGGGACCGGTACTCACAGGAACACCACAATTTCGTCACTTCAGATATTCTTCCGGTAAACCTCAGAGAGCTTTTACTACTTTGTAATAATAGATCCTTCAAATTAGTACCTTCCCAATGTTTGCTGTTAATGAATTTGTGGTCTGTCTACCATTTGTGCAACACCAGAAATAACTTCTATATTAATTTAATTTGGCGTTTACTCACCTGCTTCAATGTATGTAAGAACTTTATGCATATATGGTCTCAGCATTTGCCGAACTATAAAACTGGTTGTCCATATCGAAGTGCCACACTCTCAATTGAACATTTAATGTGTCTTTCCAAAAAATGGATTATTAAATCTTTACGCAATTTAAGAAACAGAAAGCAGAATGAAGAAAGAACGGTAGACAGGGAAATACTCAAATACCGTCAGAGCCACCTCAGGTTGCCCTCAGGATGTAATTTTTGGACCCCTTATGTACATTTTATATATAGAACTCAATACTATAGATAATATTTCCATCTGCAATAAAAAAAACAAACGGCGTAAACGTTTTTAAAGCAAACCTTTAAGGTGAACTAATAGAGCAAATTTAAAATTATGAGTTGAAAAATCTGCCGTAATACATCTTTTGGGCGCGAAAATCCTGATCACATGTATTCCACAGACGAGTTGGACCTGCAAACAGTAAAAATTACTTATGATCTAAAGGTTGCCATAATAATTACTCTAAAATCCTGCAATATGCAAAAGATATAGTGCTGCGCGCAACACGCTGCTTTAACCAAACCTTACGCTCATTTTTTTTTCTTTCGATCCTACTTTGTATACTAAGCTATTCCAGATATACGTTGAGCCACTCATAATATATGAAGCATCTGTACAACATGTAAGTCTGTAAGTATAATATCTAAGTTGAGAAAGCGTACTGAAAGGCTTGAAAAAAGTAGGAATGCACACATGAAACCCGCTTCCTTCACACGTCAATATGAAAATCCCATTAATCCTCGATAGCTTCAAAGGCATTGAATAACGCACGTTCGCATGAAGCAACAAGCAAAAAGCCTTGTAAAAAAAAAGCGAGGGTCGATCCTAAATTCTATCAAACATGGGCCTTAAGGGACGTAGACCTGTAAACATACAAATAACATACATACAGTGACACAATCCCATAATCACTTATACAGAGCATAGCAACTTTACGGATGAGGGTTGTGCTTATTCTTGCAACTTTGTGATCTGTATCATGACCACGAGTTAAATCGCTAAGCAACATGGCACTCATAACTAACCGAAGAATAGTGGTCACATGCTGCAATGTATAATGCAATTGCTAAGTTCAAAATTATCTCCTGAACCCTAGTCCTAGTTTAGTAACCGTCTTATGACGGCTAGGTGTATAAAGTGATCATGTGGGTGGTATAGGATAGCACACAAAACTTAATGTAAGTCGTATGAATTGCAAATGTATGTATTCAAAAAATATTTGGATTGCTATCTGAGAAAGGTGAATAAATGATTTTTATTGAGTAATATATTTCCAAGTTTGAAAACAGCAATAATTGAGATAATTATTCAATTTCGCAACAATATTTTACTAAAATTTATAACCAAAAAACGGTGCATGAATAGTCTAGTTCCCTACAGAATCGTTCCCTATAGTTATAAATTTCATGAAACATATAACTTAAATAAGTCCCATGACATTATTCGACTAACTTTAGCCATCATGTAAACTTCGTTAAAGTTAAAAGTAAAAATTAAAAAAAGTTAAAGTTAAAAGTTATTTATAATTGAAGGAATTATTTGCTAATCTAGTCTTATTTACAAACGTGCACTAAGTGCAATGGATGCATTACGTGAATTTTTAAGTCGATTTGTTTCCTACAAAAAATTCCCCCGGCCTTGAAGAAAGTTGTTAAAGTGAATATTTTTTAGAAAAAAACTGAAAATCAGATATATGTAAAAATATGGGCCTACAGCCCAGAAATCAACTATTTAGAAGGTGCACGCCTTTATCTCCAACCAAAGGCCTAACCCGATATAAGTTTAACTTTTGCTGTTACAGGCAAATCTTCGCAAGCTTAAAAACTTCCATAATACGACTGTCCGTTATTTTCCCGCGACTATAAAGTCAGCATCGATGCAAAAACGTACCTCTTAATGTGGAGAAGCATGTTTCTACTTAACGACTTCCAAAAAAAAAAAAAGAAAAACGCCAAGTCCAGTCCTTACTTGGGGTTAACCCTACGAAAAAAACCACGTCATTTAGTGGATATTTAAACATGTAATTAATGAACTATATAAACAGATCATAATAACTAGACCACGAAATATACCACGGATAAATCGTAGGATTGGGGCACATGTCCTTTAAAACCAGCTGTTTGATAGCGAAATATATAAATCGGTACGTTAATACAACACCACTAAAATTACAATATCTATCTACATTCAACAAGCTTTTGTGAATTCTGAGGGATTAATATTGTCATCCCCACAGATCCACAAGAAACGATCTATATGAATAATATTCGGTTTTTTGTTTGACTCCTCGGTGAGCGTCCAACATCAAAGCTCGCATGAAGATTCATGTTGAATTTCAAAACGTTGTTTTAATGACGATTCACTAAATCCATTAGTTTTCTTATTTATTTGACACACTTTGTGCGAATGTATATTGTATAGTGGTAGGTTATTCTTAATACGATTTCAAATCTCACTCAAAAGATGTAATCTAAAATTCGCGCCATTTCATCTCGATACAACAGGCCATTTGGCGCCAACGTGGGATTCGATTGAGAAGAACAGCCGAAGTAGCTTCATAAGAGTCGGTTACTAGTTGCTAGAAAAAAAAAAAAAAAAACTTCTATTTATTCTTATTAGTGCAATTAATCCTCGAGGATATAACTCCTAAATGTATCTTGGAGGCGCCCAGCTTTCCTTAGAACAGCTGGAGCCTGATAACAGGAAATACTTGTGGTTTTTTGTCTGACCAGGTGAGCGCGCATTTCTTTGTATTGCTTCGATCATAATCCATCTCCCATTTAAACTCAACCTGATTACCACACAGTTTGTATAAATGCATAGAATGATTTCGGATCGATATACTGTGTCGCCGAAAAAGACCCCGCATGCTCTTTGAAGGAACAGCGAAGTGCATAAATAAACAAAGCGGGCATTAGATTTTATATAGTCGCCAGACTTCTCCATGAAACCCAAGTTATGATACTTGAATCACGCACGTGAGTTATCGAAAACACTAACTACTCAAACATAAAATCCTTGTGAAAGTTGATATTCGTGGACTCGTAAGCTCGGGTTGGCCTTTTAACGGGTTGAATGGCTTTCTTAGTTGACGGCTTTCAAACTAAAGCGTCGATAAAATTCGTACGGTGAGGTACCGTGCTGGACATATATTCTTGAAGTAACAAAAACGGACTAGAACATCATGCAGGAGGATGTTCGATGCGAGGTAGTTAAAAAGGGAGTAGAGTATACGATACCGCCTGACGGAGCTGTCTGCCACCTACAAATCTCGAACGATCGTCAACATCTTTTCTCGGAGACTGAGGTGATTATCTTACAAATTTACTTTAATCTAAGAAATCTTCAACGTAATATCGTCATGAACTACTTAGTGCCTTAATTTGTCTTGACGCTTTATTCAATTGTTTGGCTTGTATAAAAATGTATTGCATTTTTTGTACTTATAATATACATTTCACAAAAATTATCAGGTGTAGTAAATGCCATCGTAGCTACGTTGGAATAATCTGCATTTTGTCACTTTGAGTGTTATCTTGTGCGCCAATATGTCATAAGTTTATTTAAGTGACAATATATCTGAGCTAACACAGAACTCAGCTCTAATATATGTGCTTTTAATGAAATAGCGTCAACATAATAAGTCAATTTATAGGACTTCATCAAGGATCATCAAATTGAGATCAAAACAAAAATTGTAAGGCACAACTGTACAATACATCTTTTTAGATATACGTTGTCCTTAAATACTATAGAATTCATTTAGCCTATAGGTTTTCCTTGAAAAAGTATTAACATTTATACTATGTGGCTGCTCTTCTGGATTGCGCTTCATGAACATTTTAACTCTAATCTACCATTTGCGTCTGTCCTTTAAGACAATGATAACGTTAGGTTTGGCAAGCGATCCCGAACGTCTAGCTCTTGAAAAATGTATCATGAAGATGCGCCCTGGCGAAGAAACCCGAATCGAGATTGGTAAAATAGATCCTTCCGGTGGTAGGGGTTCAAGAAAGGAAGTTTTAATAAAACTGAAGCATTTCAGCGGCTGCCAGGTATATATGAAATTACCAAATCACAGTATCTTTAATTTATCATATCAAAATGGTCCTATGATAATTCGATTATAAACACTAAACTGACGTATTCGATTGTAAATAATGACAATATTCAGATCTATATAAGTTCTACGTTTCATTTTTTCTTACCAAATCTAGTCTAAACGAATTTGATGAAATAACGCAGACCCGTTGATTTAAAACGCGTGCCCGAATTTCCGCATTAGTTGAAAGACGTATTTGCCCATCATAACCTAGAAACTAACTAAATCGATATGTTAAATGCGTGTATGACTTTTCAACATATTCGCTTACAGATTTTCGAAATGGATACAACGGAAAAGTGGCGCCTAGCAAATTGGCACAAGGACCACGGCGTATCTTTGTTCGCTAACGAGAAGCTGGAATGGGCATTTCGACAATTTTCACTAGCTCTTCAGTATATTATCTCATTGGCACTTGACATACCGGAAGTGCAGCATAACGACCAAGTAAGATGTTTCATCAAAGATGATATATCGTTATTACTTTCGACCTATTTTCTCCAGGCCTGCATCTCAAACTCCCTTGCCAAATTCGTAAAAATTCACTATTATTTCTAATAGAACAAGAACGTTTCTACTTATGTCAAATTGATGTCATCCTTTCGATCTTATGTTATTCCTGAGGCAATTTTTTTTAAGAACGGCCTTCTACGCGGTTACCTGTTTCACTTCATTAATGTTTATGATTATGTATATTGTTGTTATTCGTTGAATTAATATTCGATAGAACATGAACATCAACCAGTTACGTACGTTGGTCTATCTCAACATGAGTGCCTGCCAGCTAAAAGTGAAAAATTACAATTTTGCCGCCGAAAATGCTTCAAAGGCGCTTGCGATTGCCCCAAGGAACCCAAAGGGGCTTTATCGGAGAGGTACTGCTCTGATGCATCTTCAGGTATACTTAACAAACTGACTATTATTACCAAGTTTACATCGCTACGTAATTCAAACTGTAACCAAACTGGCACAAGTAACTTTTTTTGCTCTGACTAAATAGGAGGAAGTTTTTATTATTGGCTCAGTTATATTGTTCTGATATTCTGATTCTATATATGAGTAAACAACTTGAATTACTTAAATGCACAAAACGTATACAAGATCTTAAGAAGATGTTCTCACATCTATATTTGTGTCAAGGTTATGTGTATATACATTATGACAAGGTTCGATTATAAAAATGACTTGAAAATCACTTTTTTCACAATCTTATTTCCGCTCTGAACTAGTAATGTGTGGTATTCATTTGATTTAATATTGGTGCTTTAATAGGAGTATGAAAAAGCGGAAGCAGACCTCACTGCTGCCCGAGACCTGGAGCCACATAACGCTATGATTCAGGAGTCCATACGAAACCTTCGTTCGAGAGTGACCGCACTTGATAAGAAATACGCCGTCGCGATGAAAAAAATGTTCCAATGAACTAGTTTTTCTATTCTGTAAAAATCAGTATGAGCACGATGACTTTGTGCCTACAGTTCAAGGAAGTCAGGCGACTGTTAGTAGTCTGAAGGTGACACCTCTGGGTATTTTAAAGAGTCTTAACGAGGTTATTGCTATAAGTTTTGCTATGCCATAAATAAATGTAAACTATTGTATAAAAATAATTACCAGTAACAAATATTTCTATTATTTTTGATGAAGGTTTTTCTTTTTGCCGTTACATGCTAAAGAAATTAGTAGCTTTGTACAATATGTGCAAATATCTCATAATAAATATCAAATAAACGTTAATGACGAAATTGTTATTGAACTAAAAACACGTAATATATTTTACACACATATTGTATCTTTGACAATATTTATACAGCATTGACAACGGTACTGTATAACAATGGATCGAATCTGTTCAGCTACACGATACGGTAGCGTTTTTTTTTATTAGATTTCAAATTTTTTTGTATGACGAAACTATCTATTTTTGAGATGATACGTTTGAAAAATAAGTTTTGATTCACAGGTTTCTTCTTGAGGTCGTTTCTTCACTTTCAACAATTTTTTTTGAATGCCTAGAAAAAGACGTCTAAATACAGTAATTGATCCTACGACAAAAATATAATCCTATTATCCATGACGATCTTAAGGGCAATCAATACATTCAAAGTAATAATGTACTAAATCATTCAATATGAAACGTGACAATCATTGAACTTATATTACAGATATAGTTATTTTATGACGATGCGATATTTCGTGACACTTTTTGTACCCTTTGAATCCTGAAACTTTCATTTGAATATTATAATTTCCACTTTAAAAAGGCGAGTTGTTGTAAGCCATGAAGGCCAGAAGATCTGTGATCAGAAGATAATATGAGATCGATTTTGGCACTACAGCGGAGGAGACAGCTCACCGTATAAACCATGTATTTAGTGAAGGTTCGACCACTGGAGACTGCCTCAACCTCTTATCAAGTTCATTATATATATATATAAGAGAAGAAAAGGTGTTAGCATTTAGGTTTATGTATAATATAATACTTGTTTACCTCGGTCAAGTCCGTAAGGTAAAAGAATTAGAAATATAAGTGCTGCATAGTTTGTGCAAGTCAAAAACATACGTAGAGACGTTCTTCTGTTCTCACATGACAACAGTGACCAATTCTTACTTAGAATCGGCATTGTGTAAAGTTCAATGATAGTTTTTATTGGCATGGCATTTATAGAGACCGAAAAGGAATCAGGGCAGGCTGTCCGTTTACTTTGTATTTATATTTTGGACACAAGCACCAAATTCCGCAATCAGTCGTCTCTACACTATATACTACATACAAAGAACTTACCTTATAAAAGCAATACTCGAGATTTCTAAATAATTTGCTCAAATGATTAGGTCTTTCAGCACAAAACCTAACATAGTGATTTTCCCTTGACTTTTCGAACTTTTCAATTTAGTTTTTTCTTTTCAGTCGAAGCTTTGCACCATTATTATATACAATTTTTTACCGTTTTGACGGGACATGTTTGTCGTGCTGCTGTAGAAGTATGAGGTACAAGAGTTTCTAAAATCTAGATTTCGACTTTATGTTAAGATTTAAGTAACTTTGATTAGAAAAAGATTATCTGTAAAAGCAATGCCTAAGTGCGTTAACAAAGATTTTCCTTATAATAACTCTGACTATTGCGTTTTTGCTATCCTAGTTCTCATGGTTGAAGTCAAGCCATATATATATATATATATATATATATATATATATAAGGAAGTTTTATATCTGATTGAAAGTAGTAGCATTATGCAATAAAGTTCAAACTGTTAGTTATCACGATACACGATAGTACAATACATGCCTTCAGTACCGCCGCGACGAGATTCGAGTTAGACCTGCGTAATTTCGGTATTAATTTTGAGGGAAATAAAGCAATGGCGCCACACAAAGTTATCTTACGTTTTGTGCAAAACGTGAGTTCCTTTAAAGAGTGCTCATTTGGCGGGCTATGTGTACAAGGATGGGTTCATCTTTTATTGTTGATATTGGAGTAAAGCTACCACCTTCTTAGAACAAAAGCACAACTCGCCATGACGAGTTTGTGCTTTTTTTAGGCAATTACTACCTTTTCTCGGGTTGCCTTCGAAATATGAGCGAATGTCTGCTGTTTCTCAATGCCTTGTTGCTGGACAGACCCGTCAGCAACGTTATTAAGTCCGAAATCGATGCGCTACACTAAAATCAATCTCCACGCGATTCCTAAAGAGTCTATAAAAGACCCCCAAGTACCAAAACAATAAAAGAAAAGAGATCGCTGCGCCTTCTCAATATTTTAACATTATTTTAAGCATGAATATTCTAGCTTCGTCAACTTTTCTCTCTTTCAACGTCTGTTCTAAAAAGTAAATCCAAGAGCCAGCTGCCAAAAAGCTTTTTGTGCTATTTCATGTTAAGATTCGTTAAATCTGTCTTACCCAGAAGCAAATGTTTTGTAGGTTTCATACCTGGAACTACGCTATAATTTCACTGGAAAAAAAATAAAGTACATGTGTAATAGTATATGGATGCGATGCCTGCAGTTAGAATAAGTATTGCCTATCAGGAACCCTAATCTGGCTCAATGACGTGGAAAAACTTTAAGTACTTTTGTGTGTGCCATAAAAGAATAAATTCCAAAATTGAGATAGGTTATATTGAGTGCACTCTAAATGAAAGCATAATTGTTACCTGTTGAAAGCGTAAAGATAGTTGTTAACGTTGGCTTCATGCTTGAGAAGCGTTGAGTTGCGTCCGTGAACTGGATCAGACGGGCCCTTCTATAAAGCTTATAATCGTTCGTATAATTGGTCTCCATCTCAGTTTGTGCATTGCATATGTTAAGCTACAAAAGTTAGGCGAAACACGCTGATTCATCAACTGCTCCAGACTTATGCTAAAAGCTGAGGTACTTTAGGTTCCAAATTGAAAGAACACCCAGTTTATTTTCTAGAGGGAACTATCCATGTAAAACAATAATCAACGGCAACATAGGAAAAAGGGCTCAAGTTATTTCTTTCGGTTAGAACTAACTTTTTTATTTATAGTTACACCTTAAGAAATGTGGCGAACGTGGATGAATACTGCATTCGATGGAACACAATTTGTCTTTAAACTAAATCTAAAACCGGAAAAAGCTATTTTCAATAATTTAAAAATATTCCGAAATTAAGAGACTGACGTTTTATTAACTATTTGAAAACAATTTGAATTAAAAATAAAGTATTTTAAAGAAGCTAACAAGTACGTTGAATACATACGTACGTGAGAAATGCCTTTGTGCAAAAAAGATTACCCAAATATCTGTATTTAAATAAATATTTAAAAAATTAAACCGACGATATAAATTTCGTCTCAATTTAAAAGGTGTATCCTGTATTTAACATAAAATGCACAATAAAGTATTGTATGAACTTGAAGAAACACACAATAAACGATTTCATCTTAAAGTTCGAATTTAATTCCGTATTTATTTTGCGGAGCTTTGATACCTTATTAATTTCATTATAAAAGAACTAACATAATTGTCAGCGAAATCAAGTCTGACTATCAAATGTGTACTCAAAAAATCAAGAAGTTGCAAAAAACCTTACCACTTATATCTGTTAGGGATTCTCTTGTGAAGTGCAATACATGTTACAATTATGTGCAGTACGGTTGACAACGTATCGCTAGTGTCGTTGTAGCGATTGTATAATATAATAATTATATTCACCTAAGAAGCTTACATGAGGAAGTCCATCACTGGCTATGCTGTCCAAAATGAATAAGCCCTATAGTAGCAGATTCTGGTCAGGTGCAATAGAGAGCACATATGTTATTTCTGACATAAACAATTGCCAGAGTCAAGGGTTCTAAAACAATGAGCGTTCGGCTATAGTAAACGGAAAATGATGAAAAAAATCCCAAGATGGCTGCCGTCGGTGAGGATGCGTGAAAATAAAGGCTAGAAAATGTGGACGCGCGGAATAATTAGTAATAAGTAGTTATCGAATGGTAACTAATAAGAACGGTGTTTATTTGCCCGATCGAAGATTAGAAAGCATGCTTCCACCATTAAACGAGCCACATATATATGATTGTTCTCTGTTTTCAAAGTGTAACTTACTGCAAATATTAAATGAACCTAGATTTAAATGAAATTAGATTAACTTTTAATTTAAAATGTTACCGGAACTACGAAGATATATCAGAATTTTAGGCAAATTCACCATGCGAATAAAAATTACTTGAATAAAAGGTAAGCCTGTAACGGATAAGACAGTTTAGGATGTTCATAGGCAACGGCCAAGAACGTTAATGGCCTTTACCAAGCAAGCAAAAGTACTGAAAGGTTTTAGCAAAATAGCAAAATATTCAAAACATCGGTATTCCAGATTTTTCAAAATCGTTAAACGGAAAAAATACACTTCACAAATGGTGCGTGCTATCAATAATGATGATCTGGACCAAAAAACTATTTTGCAAATGGTACTCCGAAAAATGTACACAAAACGCATAATCTTTCTAGTGGATTGTTTGATGCGATAAAGTTGCATATAAAGCTGTAAATTCACATGTTATACAGAAAAACCATGTAAATTTACCAGGATGTACAGTGTGGCATGACAGTTCAAATAAAGGATTAATTGAATTATGCTTTCTTAACAGTACAGTGACTGGTACCAGTTACTTAAAGCGAGGGCGGGAACCTGTTCTACCATGAATTGGGAAGGAATTTAGTGAAAATGGCAAATTTTATTTGTAACAAAACGGAGCACCTGTGCACTATCGTTTTGATAAAAGGATATAAATTGATAGGAGTCTTCTAAACAGGCGGATCGGACGGAGAAGTTTCCCGGAGGAAGCATACCCTATCCGACTCTCTCTAGACCTGACGTTAAAGGAGCCTTTTATAGGGACATCTTAAATACTAAACGTATGCCATAAAACCGATGACGCTGGATGACTTGAAAGCTGTAATTCAGCTAGAGAGCACCACCAAACCAAACGAAACGTTTGCTGAAGTTTGTAAATCTATAGCCCACCATTTTCAGCAATGTATTAATTCGAATGTATTTAAAATATCCCGGTAGGGGGAAAAACTACATATTTTACTTAAGTCCTTTTGCAATTTGAATGTTAATTTTACGTAAATACAAACTGATGTTATAGTCATTAAAAATATATATACATTTTTTGAAAAATCTCGTAGAAATTAACAAATCTCGGTATTCATAAAGAAAAAACCACACTATGAATAAAAGATGCAAGAAAAAAGAGAGCAGCGAAGTGAATATTTTCAAATCAGCTGGCTTTGTTTTTTTAGACTACGGCAAAGTGTTTTGTATCAGACATCAATGGAAGAATCAGTGTCAGAGCATCCCCATCAAGCATTTACATGGCATCAAAGACCCTTTTGTTGCATTTGAGTACATGCCGTTTACTTCGCTTTAATAATTTGTACGTACAGTTCTGCAGAAATGGTTCCGTACCTCCTGCTCTTTCGGCCGATCCGCCTGGACTGAGTGTAAATCCGACGACAAGAAAAGCACATTAGTATAATGAGGTCCATATTATAAATTAAAGACCGACCGAAAAACGAACTAAAAAAACCCACTGAAGCTCATGCGTTGAAAGCTTTGTTTGATATTTATAAGTAAAGCAGGTAAAATATATGTATATACATGTGGCAAACTGGCAAGGCGAATTTTTATCAGTAGGGTTGACCTCATATATCTTGGAAAACCCATCTTCATGCTTAAGAATAAAAAAAAATTCTCAGCCCACTTCAAGTGCTCAAGCATCGCATCCGTTCGTACTAAGTGCGGATGCGACGAATTGTTCTATACTGATACCAGAATAATTGCACTACAAAGCAGCACATAATGGCTTTATAGAACCGACCTTTGCCGTGTATCTCTGTCAACCCGTAAAACTCATCATACTTTATCATACTTTTCAGCTAGGAAAGTTCCTGTCAGTGAAAGCATTCACCAATTACATTCGCTTATGTCCTGAAAGCCCAAACGATATGTTTGGGAAAAATGAATTCGATCTTTTTGAAATTGATTGAATGATGACTGCCATTTGGTTCCGGTACTGGCACATTATTGCAATAGATATCGGAGCCACATTTGCTTTTACTACTTCATCACATGTTACAAATTTTGTGCTACGAAGCACTCCTATACTTCACTAAGTTCTCACCTGTTAATATCCTTTGATATATATATTTTTAGCGCCGTTTCAAAATGATGGCTATTTCAGTGAGTAAAATTACAACTTTTCACACCTTAACAATCAGTTTCACTAAGAGATTATTTAGCTTAAAATCAAAAGCTTTTGGTATTGTTTTATTTACGCAATAAAAATAGCAGTAAAAATGTTTTTTATTCGACCATACCTGTGTTACAATATATGACAAAGGTGGCACTTGAGAACAGTAATAAAAGTGGAAACTTATTACAGTCTGAATCATAGCTGTTTGTTATATATAATTGGATCAAAAACTAAATTTGAGTCCTGTGTATTTACCCTTTTTACCAGGCTTAACGTAGTTAAACATGTGAGGTTCAGCCTTGTCGCCTAACTTCTGTTGTTCAGTGACCGCGAGCTATAAAAATCAGAATCCCTAGTTTTGATACAATAATGAACAGCCACGGATTCCAAACACCGGAATCGTTCAGGAACTGTGCCGCAATTCCACTCGGAACACGGACATACTTGTCTCCATATATTCGTAAATTATTTTTAGAAATCTAAGAAACCTTAAATTCAATAGTTTATTAATATTACTAAATTTTCCAGTATTAGATGTGGACTAGGTTTGGAGTAGTCGATGAGCATTGCTAATTTCTGCATATATTCTACCGCACCGCTAACAGAGTTTTCTAAATAAACGTTTGAGGAACAGCATATTTAACTCCAGCAAGAAGCTTGTACATATGATAGGCAAAGCAAATTTTTTTATCGAGCGAAGAGGTGTACCCAATGTTAATACATTTTTTTTTTATTACAAAATAGACGTCAAAATTTAAAACTAAGTGAAAAGGTTATAAAAGTGTAGGAATCAAAAAGGACAAAAATCAAATTATCCAAATCTCTAGTAGTTTGCAAAATCCTGAACAGCTGAATAACAAAGCGAGCACTATAGTTATGAGCATTTAGAACAATATAACCTTTTACTGACAATGTAAAGCATGTTTAATAGTATATTTTACTATCATTAGTAAATCAAATAATAAGGAAAACCCCAAAAAAATTGTGAACAGGTACTCAACATGCTTTTACGTTTAGGGGGACTGTGGGGCAAAAGTGTTTTCATGGATACACATTAAAGGTATATACAACATATATATTTATGTATGGATATGTTACGCAGATGTAAAAGGGGCCTTAGATTGTTAAGAGACCTTTGTTTTAGCGTAAATCTTATTCTAAAAAAAACCTGCATAATAGTATGATAATTATCTGGTGGCATATGCTTATATGTAGCCATTGCCAGTGATGACAAGTAGATCAGGCATTTTAACAAACACATACACGCAAACATTTTAGCAGCAGAAAATACACCATCTGGTAATCATGTCTCCATATACTGAAACGATATCTAGTTGTTTCAACAGGTATACCTGAAATGTCAACAGTGAGCTCTATAAGCGCTTAGACACTTCGCCTAAATACATTACCTAAAGGATTTCTTTTCCAAAATAGGGATTGTATTCTTACATTTCTTCCGAAAAAGTCGGTAATAAAAAAACATATCTATTACTCTTTTTAAGACTGCAAATGAATATCCATCGTATATATGCTAATACAAGAGTCTTCAGCAAATATTTAATATTGCAGATGCTATAATCTCACACGTTAAGGAGTGCCCTAATTGCAAATTAGTTAAACGTCCAAGGCTGGATCGATCTCAAGTGACATCCCAAGCATCAAGTGATCAAATTGGCATGTTCACGTAAGGAGAAGCCACGGCGCACGTCAACGGTAAAGCCACTACTAGTAACTGTGATTATCCTTATTTACCAAATTATGAGGCACTATTATTATCTTACAAAATAATCAATCAGAACAAATGTTCGTCACCTGCCAAGAACGTTAAATCTAGATGTTTTACTATCATAGCGGGTTAGCTATGTTGCCAACAAGTTCACCTGTAGCACGATAGAACTGAGAGACTAAAATAGCGCAATCTTTTAGAGTCAGTATGGTAATCTCTGACAATACCAACTTTGTGCTTCACATGGCACAACCATTGCTATAACCACGAAAATGTAGTTCCGATCGGGTTCAAGTTACATTGTATAGTCTCATTAGTAGGTAGTTTAAATGAGGAAACTTGTTGATGATATGGCAAAGTTACGTTATGGTTAAAGTTAAATTAATAGGGGATATACTTTTGTAGAATTGGCTAGACGTTCGATCCTGATCGAATAAATTTATGACGCTTGCATGTTTGTTCTCTTAATCTGCTGCTGGTTTTGAATGAACGGTTGGATAGGGTAACAGTCCTGGAACCTTCGCTTTTGAACATTTGGTACGGTCGTTAAACTTGTAGTTAGACGGTAGACGTTAAGGGTGCACTGATTTTGAACTCATTTAGCCTTTACTTGTTTATACTTATGGCTCTTAATCGTCGGCTTTTTATCAGCACTGCTCCGACGTGGTTCCGAGCCCAAAAAGCGGTGGGATAGAAGAGACAGCCGTTAAGAGGTTATATATGATGAACCATTAAAGCGGCTGGGGGTTAAGGTACGTAGAAAGCTGCAATGTAACGAGCTGACCTTTCAAGGTGGTATTTTCTAAATCATAGGGCCATATTTTAGATCCCTGTGGCTCCAAATATTTCCTCACCACTACTTTAGCGGTCACTCCGCGTGAAGTAAGTTCCTTGCAAGATGCTTAATGCCTCCATTTTTGCTTGGCAAGGACAGGTAATTTTCAGCAAACAATAACTCTCAAGGCAAATTTAACTCAGCCTTAGCAGCTTTGGTAGAAAATCCTATCAGATCAGCAATTAGTTTGTGGCGACCCAAAAGAACTTTTAAATTTCGCGCTTGAAGCCCGTCTAATCCACCGCCGGCTGAGTCTGTCAACCTCAAAACCTCTTGTGCTGCCAGTGATTTTGTTTGTACCGGGTTTGGGGGTAATCAGTGTTTACTTTTGGTGGAAATGTTGTCAACGTGTTGCTAAGAAGTGCTTTATGGATATCTTTGCTCTCGGATGCGAAGCTATTCGTTGACACCTCGACACATATAGCCACTAAGGAAACTGCACGGGTTAGCTGCTTTTCTTTCATGTACGGTTTGCTGCTATGCACGTTTCAAACTTTGTTTGTTACGCGATGTTTGTTATATTCAAACCAAACCACATCTTTAAGTTATTGAAATTTTTAGAAGGTACCAAATAGTTTCCCAATATATCGGCAATCTTTAAAACTTACGGAAACCATAGGAAAATTGCTTAATAAGTAAATAATAGCTGAGAAGAGATAAAATTATGTTGTACAAATAGGGTCTAACAACTTCGTTGAAGCTATAAAATTGAAAAATACTCATCTATCTTAGCTATACTCAATTTTCTTCATTTAACGTACGGTATTAAAGTTCAATGATCGATTACAACTTCTAGAACATTGTGATTTTACTATACAATTGGAACGAGTTATCTAAATAACCTTATATGAAATTAGGTCCTTTAATTCTTCGTGATCTATAACTACCAACATGGCGAATCGTTCTGAGTCAAGGCGGTCTAACCGTATTTGACTTTCTTTTTGAATGTTATTTCAATTAAGTGAGGCTATATATATTACAAAATAAACTGTCCGTCATGCACTAGTTTTGTAATCCATAATTTTATGCTTTCTGTACAATTACTATGTGCTATCACTTCGAAAGTCAATAGTTTTTCCGTGAACATACAATGGCAATGAAGTCTGCTAAAAATCAAATAGTCCGACAGTCTCAATTTGAGAATAGAACAGTGACTTTTAAACGACATCGTTATCATTAGACGCATATGGCTGAATTCAAAATTGAAACGGCCGGTGTTGTCAACTTCATCCACTAAAGTCGGTAGCTCCAGCCGGACATAATTTTTAAACGCAAATTTACTTAGATGAGTAATCGGTAATCGATCTAACGTAACTCGATTCACTAAATCGATGAAAATAACGTTACTTAAAATAATATCTGGAAGCAACTCTTTAGAGTGACAGTAGAATTTTCACCGTATTACAGCAAGATATTTAATTAGATAATATAACTTTAAAGGAAAAAATCGTACCCTGCTCATTATAAATAGAGGATTTATAATGAGCAGGGTACGATTTTAATTCGATTTTTGAAAATTATATTTAATAAAATTAACCAAAAGAGCTATCCCTCGAACTCACTTACGCGCATAGTGCTGATCAGTGTTCTCACTTTCCCATATCTGTTCTATTTAAAATATTTATCGTAAGTTGTTTTTACCCACCATCCGTATATCATAGGGTTCTTTTTAAAAAAAAATTGTTATTATATAAATTTTTTTTAAATCCTATATGAATTCTATACATACAGAATTTAAACTGGTGGGGTCGCGTAGGTTAGTCGCATTTATTTAGCGAAAGGAACCTCGTACAAATCGGCGTTACTGCGTCGTGTCGAGCGCCACAAATATTTGCTTTAATCTACCAAGTTTGCTATCAAAATAGAGGATCCGATCAACTTTAGACAGCCATAAATATCCTTTGATTGCATACGTTAAGATTAAACTATGCCAATAGCACGGAAACAAATCTAAAATTTAGATAAATTCATCTTTACTTAAATTACGCCTAGTTGTTATTTAATGATGGATGTAACACCCAGCAAAGCCGAATACATCTGTTGCCAATTAGAAATGTTCCTGCGTGGATTGATTTAAGCTCGCTCTAGTTGTTACAGGTATACGAGGATCGATTGAGAATTTCCTTTTATCAGTTGCCTATGTTATAAAAGCAGCCTATCCTCAAATATTATTCGCAATTCACTGATTTGAACATCTAACAACCTGTCATCGTTTGCCATAATAATTAAAGAAGGCTATCTAATAATTATAAGCTAAGGTGGATAAACGGACAGACAAACATGCGCTTCTTGTCGACAGAGCATGTTGAGCGCAAGCTTATACATCTGTTGGCTGTCTACTCACTCCGGCCGGCGGCGTCTCGTTCTAGACACAAAACAGTGTAGCAGAAACACCACAGTTAGGCGCCCTACCATCGCTAAGCTCCCATTGGAACTGGTCAGGTCATGCTCCGTCAGTGGCGAAAGAGAAAGTTGTCTGTCTGTTTGGTGTTGTGTTGTTTTTGCGGCGGCTGCCTGCCTCTCTCCTGCTGTTTCTCCGTTTGAGTGTTCCGTTGTTGCAGGTTCCGCTTCTCTCCGTATGAGTAGCAGCAGCAGCGGCAGCATTCGGGTGCGTCGTCGGGAAGTTCGTTGTCGTTTGTAGGGAGTAGCGAGTGAGCGCGCGGCGTCGGTGAAGCTCGTGTCGTATCGCTGTTGTCGGCCACTGCCGACAGCGACAACGACAACGACAACAATAGCAACCCACGAATCAAGTAACGGATGAAGATAATTTTGTTTTTTCTAACTTTATTTTCTTTTGGTTCGAGTGTTGTTTCGCTGACTCGAGACGACGCAGGCAAAGAGGAATTGTTTACCTGCCAGTAGCCAGGTCCACTTTGCCACCGCGATCGTATCATTAGTGAAGGTAGTGAAGAAGTCTGTAGCCAATGGTTAGTGGTCGCGTGTTTGTGCGGGTTAATCTCTAACGGTGTCGGACCTGAATAAGGTAAGTTGATCTATATAGCGGAAGAGAAGTGGATACAACATGATCATCTATTCCACTCAGATATTTTATGGTTATAATCAGCTAAGTGTTACCCATCTACGCTCTGATTGTTGTATGTGTTATAGAGTCTCTAGCCCATGAAGTGACTATCAGATATCTTAACGTACTCTCAAAATAACTTGATCTGAATAATAGTTTTACATAACAAAACATGACAGATGGGGGGACTCACTTACAACGAGATACATAAGATTCTTAACCACCGGTTACCTTTGAATTAATTTTGCCGGTACTTAGAGAAGTAGCGCAGCTTAGTAAAGCTTTAGCAAAAACCTTGGTAGACAATTGGGTCTTTCCTTGTGTTCAGAATTAGTTTTTAGTTCAGAATTGGGCAGCTCTTGAATCACATTAAAGCAGTTTTCGAGTAGGTTGTTATTTTAACTCATCCCTGTACCTGAAATATACCTAGAAAAATGTGGTAGATTATGTTGTTTGGTGTCATATATATTAATTTAATTTTTTGTGTGGTGCATCTGTTACTATGATTGTGATTGAGATTATACATATTTGTAATGTAATTAACGTTCCCATGACTGTTGAAAGACGACTAGAGTTTTCATTATGGGGTTTTGCTATCAAACAAAACAAGTAATCTGAATTTGAAAACACAGAACAATGATCAACTAAAAGAGTGCAGTTACTGAAAATATAATGCCGATTTGCCTTTAAATCGCATAAATGATTTGTGAATTTCGCTAATTAAGCAGATAAGTCTCAACAATAAAATGGGCCGGATTCAACATGTTCAATTAGTGACTTCTATCTTTTAGCCTGAGAACATTGGCCAAGCATTCGAATCTGTCTGCTAATCGACCCGTAGACCTACCCCGTTCTGTAATCGAATGCCAAAAAAAGTTGCCCAAGTTATAAGCGAGTTATAAAAAGGACTACAATAGCTAAAATCGATGACAGGAATCCAATGAGACGTTTCGACGTTTTTTTATAGTAGCGATCATGATAGGGGCTGCCTAGAACTGTAGCTTCACTGGAACAATTAATCAAAGTTAACACTGATCTCATTTCGAAAATAATAAAAACAAAGAGAACTATGCTCTTTTCTATATTTGTGTATGTATGAGGAACATAATGTATTTGAAATATTCTATGCCATTGGATTTCTGCCTTTTAACATCAGGAAGTACAAAGAGATCAGTGAATAAATTACTATTAAAAATTTGATACTTTGGATCGCTTCTGTTTTTCGTCATCTATCTCTTTTTTGCATTAGAAGTACGTGTTTACATTGTAAGAATTTTCAAGAAAATACAGCTGCGCTTTTATAGCGGGGATCTGTTATCCACCTGTTACAAATGGCCAGATAAGCCACGACAAGTGCTTTAACCACGGCAATCTGCCAATTCAAACAGTCACTGCACCTAGTGACTATCTGACTGTTTGGGTAATATGAGTATTGCGATCGATATTTTAGTAACGTGAAAATTCTGCATATAAGTGTATAATCGTGCAGTCCTCTATGGACGATGAGGAAAACAGTAATAACTTCAAAGTTAAAAGCCTCCTGAAGTGTAGCGACAAGCAAGTTTACGACAGGGATAACATAAGCCATAATCTGTTTATGCGAAAAAGCATTCTAATAGAGTGATTACGAAAAGTATGTCTGGGCCAAAATGGAATAGACAGCAACTCAACTGATTGTAAAGCGATAGTAATCGGCGGTGGAAAAATGGTGGTTCTTGTGATAGTGAGTTACACTACGCCTACCATTGAGACACGTCCTGCATTCGGTGTAGTTGATAAATTATCGTGGGATCTTCTTTATAACTCGAAATAAAAGTTTTACAGTTGTCAACGGGGAACTTCATCTAATTGGGATTGCTAGGCACACAGTAGAAGGCACTGCTGCCCAACCGGCAAAAAAGTGCGGAAAATCGATATAGCATCGAAAAAAGGATATAGCATTTTGGAGAAGGCATGAGCTTAATGTTGGAAAAAAGGTAGATTTTTATCAGTACAACGATCAAATGGGATCGAAGGAGTTAAATATATTTTATATATATAAACTCAAAGCATGGTACAGAGTTTATCTATGTTTTGACGCGTGCCAGGCTGTAAGTTGCAATTCCACTGAATAGTGTTAATGAAATTGACACATCATGAAGTAGAATCATTTACGTGCGTGGCAATATGTATATGGGACTGATCTTCAGGCGTTAAGACAGAATTATTTACATAAGACGAATCGTTTTTGCTTCGGTGATTTGCCTATATTTTTTGTACGCGACTGCAACCATAAGTTATATGGCGCCACATGCTACCATAGAGATCAACCGTGATTCCATAATTCAAACGCTTTTCTTTTAAACCGTTGTTTTTGGGGTTAGTTTAGGGGGCGCGTTCCTCTAAAAGCACTGAAGTTTAATTTCCCGTAGGTTTAATCATGACTTGCTACCGCAATATTGCACCTTGTAATGGTTATCAGTGAAAAATCAGCATCTTAATCGTTATTAAACGATTATTTTTATAGACTCTGTGAGAGTTGATTGTTTTTCGGCTATTCTCAATGACATCTTGCGAACACCTTCAATGACGTTGCTTTTCTATTCTTTAAAAGAGACGGAAATGTGTAGTACGATGGACATGTTTGGTTTAGTCCAGGTGCATCACAAAAGTGTGCGCAGTAAATGCAGACATCATTATGTCATTCATAATTTTGAATATTTGAGATTAGTGCGTGACCTTAGTAGGCAAATAGATGATACAATATTTCACTACTCGTTTTTGTTTCATGTAGTTCGGCAGTTTCTAAGTTATACTTGCCCTAGGTACTCTTTTGTGTGACATTCCACAACAACGCCAATCATATGCCAGTAGCAGGGTTCGATATGTAAAATTTCCAATAACTTATGTTTTATTATCGTTTTTGTTTGCGGATGTACAGTTTACCTGCTAAAGCTCCATAAGCTTGTGGGCGGCCATTAGCAGTACAATTGCTGGTATTCATACAACCTTGTTACTTAGTGAAATGACTCAATGATTCCACACCATACTGTTGTGCATAAATACAAGTAGATTGGTCCTATTTGCTCTGTATTATTTTTGTATTTTTTTTTGTAGTTTATGTGAGTTGTATGTTAGGCTAATACTCTTATGATTGTAGAATCTTTTTTAATTTGCAGTGTTTGAACTATACAGACCTACCTGGTTACCTTATGATGCTCGAATGTCTTTCGGGAATATATGGCCATCTGTTAAGTTTGAAAGGCTATAATTAAATAGTTACTTTTTTAAATAAAGGCGCATCACATTAATGGGGCCTTCCGCAAAAACGATCTATGTTTTAAGATATATTAATAACAATGGATTAGTGCCTTAAATCCTAGCTAAAGTAACGTAAGCTAAAATTTGCTCTAACCTCTACATAACTTTTATCTTATCAGAGGCAAGAAAAAGACGTATTTTAAGCAAGAGTATGTCCTTCATACTGTGTCGTTATACGCAAAATATTTTGTACGTTTTGAATGTTATTAAAATATGGACTAACACGTATGCGCATAACATCATTTCGTGAGCATCTTAAAAATATGGCGCTTTCTATGCTAGAAATCTGAATTTGCGTAGTTATTGCAGTAATGTTGTGAACCGATATAAAAAGACATGGAGCAAGACTCTAAGAGGTACTTCAGGTTCGCCAATCCTGGTTCATTGGTCTGGCCCTAATGTAACAGCTTTCCTCAATGCTCAGTGCTTCTCAGGTCAAAGATATCAAGCGGCGGCGGCGGCAGCAGTAGCTATCACAAACGAAACACCGGCTGGCATCGCCGACGTGATCATACCCGTCCAGTACAGCTGCTGCCGTTGCTGCTGGTCGTCGTAGTGGTGACTGCGTCACTGCACCGTCGGTCTGTGTTCATTTCCCTTACCAAGTTACCGATTGCTTGCCCGGGCTCGTGCGCCCCTCACGAGCGCGCATACGCAAGAGTTCTCGTTATCTTCTCTTTCGACTGTTTCGTATCGCTACTGCAAGTCTGCCTTGCCTGAGAACGTTATCTCGGGACGCAAATCTCGCACTACCTTATCGCTGTTATCTTATTTAGGACGGCAAGCCTTTCATCAACAAATTGAGTTTATCGCGATCAAAGGACTTCTTTTACTGTGTCAGTCTCTCTGGCTCTTCCAGTTGGCCTGCAAATTGGTCTCTTGTTTAGTGACGAAGCTTCTGGTGTCTATGTAAGTAAGGATAAGATGAAGGCTGGAGCAATTTATTTTGTTAAAAAACTGCGGCTTGCTAAATGAAGTTAACAGTGACCGTGATCAAAATAACAAAAGCTTTACAGTTTTACAAAAATCGCCATTAATTTTATCAGTAGCAGGCATGAAAAGTGAGGCTGCATGTCAAGCTAGCAAAAAAAAAAGGCAAATATGTTTAACATTTAAGAGCATATTCTCTGTTTTTATATTTTTCAGAAAAAAACATGGCTGCCTCGAAACACGCCGTGTCGAGTGATGATGGCTACACGGCTGCACAACTAATTAGTATGGGCGATGGTCTTACTTACAACGACTTCCTGATTTTACCTGGCTACATTGACTTCGCCGCTGATGAGGTGGAACTGTCATCAAAGCTCACAAAGAAAATCATGCTCAATGCTCCCCTGGTATCCTCCCCTATGGACACCGTTACCGAGTCAAATATGGCCATTGCCATGGCACTACAAGGCGGTATTGGCATTATCCATCACAACTGCACGGGGGAATTTCAGGCCGAGGAGGTAGAGAAGGTTAAGAAATACAAGCATGGTTTTATTCACGACCCAAAAGTTCTAGGCCCGGACAATTGTGTCAGTGATGTGTTGGACATTAAATCTAGGTATGGTTTTGCTGGTGTTCCTATCACTGAGAACGGTGTGGTTGGTGGCAAGTTGCTTGGTATGGTCACGTCAAGGGACATCGATTTTCTTGCGGATGAGCATCTGAGCACGAAACTTAGTGAACTAATGACTCCGCTAAAGGATTTGGTAACCGCCCCCAGCAGTATCACCTTGAACGAAGCCAACGAAATTCTTCAAAAAAGTAAAAAGGGAAAATTGCCTATTATCAATACAAACGGAGAGCTCGTGTCACTCATGGCTCGTACTGATTTGAAGAAGAATCGCGATTTCCCTATGGCGTCGAAAGACGAAAATAAGCAGTTACTGGTAGGGGCTGCTATTTCGACCCGGGAAGCTGACAAAGAGCGATTAAAGCTTCTTGTCGATGCTGGAGTGGATGTTATCGTTCTTGATTCGTCACAGGGCAACTCCAAGTATCAGATTGACATGATCAAGTTTATTAAGACAACCTATCCGAAGGTTGAAGTGATTGCAGGCAATGTCGTCACATCAGCCCAGGCTAAGAACCTCATTGACGCCGGATGTGATGGTCTTCGTGTTGGTATGGGATCCGGTTCAATTTGCATCACGCAGGAGGTTATGGCCTGTGGAAGACCCCAGGCCACGGCTGTATATCGGTAGGTTTCATGCTTACCTGCCTGGTTACTACTTTTTAATTATTTATCCATTACGTATGTAGAAAAATGTATTAATATAGACTTAGTTCTTATATCGTCATTATATGTAGTTGTGTACGATACGACGAAACTTAGTTTGATTCCTAAACGGCGAGCGTAAAAATAACAATGGTAAGATTTTGCGTAAATTTATAGCGTGGCGGAGTACGCGCGGCGTTTTGGAGTTCCATGTATTGCCGATGGAGGAATTAGCTCAGTGGGCCACATTATTAAAGCAATGTCAATGGGTGCTTCCGCTGTCATGATGGGCTCCATGCTTGCTGGAACTACCGAATCGCCTGGCGAATACTTCTATTCGGACGGCGTACGCTTAAAAAAATATCGCGGAATGGGTTCTCTTGATGCGATGGACTCCGGCAAGGCATCCCTGTCCAGGTACCACTATGCTACGATAAATCTGAAAGAATTGCAAGTAAATATATGTTACTTCTTTGTTCCCTAATTAAATAATATATTCAGAATATACGCTTGAATAGGATAAATGTATGAGAATTCCGTAATTTGCATGAAGTACAGTAAGCCCCAATATATGTAGAATTACTATCTGTAATTTTGTCACTTTGCAAATTTTTTCCTATTTTTGCTTTTTCCACAGGTATCACCAGAGTCAAAAAGACAAGGTTAGAGTAGCCCAGGGCGTAACTGGTACCATAGTGGACAAAGGGTCTATCCATCGTTACGTGCCCTACCTCATCACTGGATTGAAATACGGGTGCCAGGATATCGGCGTCAAGTAAATATCGATACTAAGAAATCATTATGTATAATAACATATTTATGTTTTTGACTATTCCATTCTTGCCATGCCTTTGAAAATTATTCTTCTTGTATTTATAATGACTACTTTATAATTGAGCTTCAATCACATTTTTTCTTAACATCGTTACCAAATAGGTGTTTTTCAGTATATACTCATATTGGAAGTATGCGAAATACCTGTTACTGAATGCAAGTGGAGTCTGACTTGCTACGATATTAGAATAATCCCTTTTCGTTTTTTGCGAGGTCGACTATACGGTAGTAGCTTGTGACAAAATACCCATGGAATGCAACTGCCGTATAAATAATACTCATTTGGTATTCTCTCTAAACATGCGACGTTTTATAAACAACAGTGAAGGTATTTTGATACTTGCTGATAAAATACTGCGTAACATCTGACTGTACCCTGGCAGTATAGCCATAATGATGGCAGAATCTAACAGAAGAACGCTATTTAAATTAAACAGAGGAATTAGTGCGGTTTGATTGTTCAAAGGGCAATCAAATCATATTTCATATACTGCTCTTTTATTTACAGGTCAGTAACTTCTCTCCGCCAGCAAATGTTCTCGGGCGATGTAAAATTCGAAAAGAGAACCGTGTCAGCTCAGCAAGAAGGTGGTGTTCATGGCCTATTCTCGTATGAGAAGAAGCTATTTTAAGAAGGGCATTCCTGTCGAACATACTGCTGTCGATTGACAGCTTCTATAGGTACAGTTATACCTGAAAGAAAAGTGGTAAATTGATGTATTAAGACAATTTTGGATCTTGGACATGTTTGCACAGGGCCGCTTCTAATTTGACGCCATTGTCTTTAACACCTATATTTCTACGGGATCATATACCTTTATACGACCTGATCCAGCCCGAGCGATGTGTCGTGTAGCTGCCAACAAAGACGTCAACATATGACAACTCTTCTTAAACGTACATCATATCTAGTCTACACAGGAATGCTGTCGATATGTAACGTCACTAAAAAGATGCGCGATTACTTATCTGTTGATTTCTGTTACATGACGGTCAAGTGTTGGATGGCATTAATGTAAAATGGACTAGGCAATTCCTATTTTTTACTGGTAATTTTATCTAGCTCTTCATTCAAACTGTATAGAATATAGGTTCTTAAGTGTTATATTAAATACATCGTGAGCTACTTACTATAATTGATAGTATATAGCATTTATGAATGGGTGTGGGAAAGGGAGCATGGTACAATAAGAAACGAGAATTAATGCTTGATAACTAATCATAAAAACAAATAATAAACAAGGCGTTATATTTTACCTTTAAAGACAACTGAAGTAATTATTTTGTACTCCACATAATGAATTTTCAGTTTGAAAATTACTATATGTACTATTTCGATGAGCAGTTTCTGGCAATATATAAAAAATAAATTACTTTGTTTATTTTTGTTTGTATTACAAGCTTCGACGTATCCTTATCTAGAGTTGTGTGATCTATTACGAACTTTTAAGTTCACAGATTTGGCAAGCTAATGAACGTTGGAATTTGTTCTCACAAAGTTGAGATTGAGTTGCGTATCGATTTGATTCCCTTAGTAATTTATTACTAGTAATTTCTGTTAATTTGGATCGTCGAATGCAATATCAAACGACCTTGAGTTTATAAGTTCTGTTCTGGGTGGGAAATACCTATAGGTCATCCTAAGTGCACTAATCTGTCAGCCCTAAGGAAAAGGTTTGGTGACCTTGTACAATGTTACACAGTGTGAAGTCTATACATAATAGCGCCTGGTGCAATCATTTACAGCTTGTTCAAACCGTTAGAGTGCCTGTGAAGTTACGCGACCCGTCACAAAAATTCTATACCATGTAAATAGAAAGTTAATTTGTTAAATAAATATCTAAGATGATATGTACCTTCATAAGTGGACGTATTTTTCCAATCAGCCTTTAGATAAAATACATTTTGGATAAAACGGTTTTCACTGCGTCGAGTAATACAAAGCTTGTTGTACACGGACATTTTGCATTGAAATTACAGTTCCAATACTGGCGCTTGAAGAAGGTGTCACTCCAATTGACCCTCTTGCTCCAGCATAACTTTACCCTTTTAGAGACTCTTGATCATACAAGCTCCTTTGCCGATTAGTTATATCATTATACCGTAATAGTCCTTCCGAAACCTTCTTTGTACAGTTTCTGAAAAGCAATCTTCAGTCTTAGGCCTTTCGAATACATTGACAGTAAGTAATAGTAAGCAGTTCAGTCACGATATGAATTATGCCAATCGATTACCATGATAGCCTATGATGATAAATGTATGTTTATAGTACGTAAATGTTAAAAGGTCCATTTCCATCAGATAACGCAATTTATTCAATGGTGTTATCATCTAGTGCTCTCCTTCTTTATAATAGGATAGAAGCAAGGCACGTTTGAATTAATCTTTGCATAAATTACGGCATGGGTTGCATAATTGTAAAGTCTATTGCTAACCGGATCATCATTTTATAAGGTGTAACCGCTCTGCATCTTATCCTTGATATTCCTTAAATCATTGATTTCGTGCCAGAGAATTTAAGTGAATTACTGTGTACAGCTCTTTGTATAACCATAACTAACTTCTAGAACTAGCTATGACTATACGCGTATATATGCAAACCATACATTAATATAATAGAATATAAAAAAAAATAGAAGTCGACACGGTACTGGGCAATTGCAAATATAAATCAGGATCATAATCCGGATGTTAAAGAAACTTTACTGCGGATTCACATGATATGTTATCTGTGATTCATGATATATTTCGTCGTTTTGAAGTAGCACTAAATTATCGTAGTGGATAACCCGAAAGAATCACATGATTTAACGACGAAGAATAATATCTAACAAACTCTATATTTCTATTTTCTGTAAATGCACCTTTGCCACTATGTCCCCTTTATACGTCAACTTCTGGGCCAATAAGTTCAATTGTTTTTTCTATGTGAAATGTGAAGATGCATTTCAGATTAATATATTAAGTTCCATACTAAGGAGAAGATAGACAGCTAGTTGATGATGTGAATGCGGCACAGGAAGGCATCCTGGAGCACCGAAATGGCATCGCTACTGCCTGTAAACAAAATTTAAACCAATAGCAGACCAGTTTAAGGAATTATCTTTTAGTAATCTTCTTGTACTTACATAAGGCTAAATAAAATATTAGTGATAAGCATCAATATATCTCGGTAAGTAATGTGAGATAGCAACTGCCATCTTTTTATCTTTAATATAGTTATGTCCTCTGTTCAAGATCCTTTTTTTATCATACACACTGAATAGCAAATGTATTAGAACTGACATGTAGATGTCTTTTTCCACATTTTGTTATTGAACAGCTATTAAATCACTAACTTCTTACTCCTTTGGCATATTGATAAAGCTTAACGTTCCTGCGTACGATCCTGGAACCTTAGAAAGTGGATTACTGGTATTTTTTCGATGAGATCCGAAATCGGCGGCTCCGTTGCATTAGTTGCATAGGGCGACTAATAAAACAGATAAAGCACGAGGCAAAGCTCACGTTGTATGTTCCACTAAACTTTTAGAACGTAATAGTTTCTACTCTATTTGTGTGGTTTAAAACAATTTATATTAATATTAAAACAAAAATTTGTTTGACCCATCTGGTACGCGCGTTTCATGGTAAATTACGATTATCTAAGGAGGCTAACGAAGTAAGGTTGCAAGAGTAAAAGCTATAAGTGTCAGTTGCTACTTTGTCCATCAGTGGTCAATAGCGGTATAAAATATACATCTTTTTAAGGAATTTAACTTTCCTTCTCTAAAAAATTTTCGGGTTCGTTCTATTACCTCTAACAATACACAGGGTTTAGTGAAGGCTCAATACATATAAAAGTAGAAACCTACGTTAAGAAAACTGCACGCAGCGTAGGTCAATAGTCTCTAAACAACATTTGTCAACAAACAAAAAGCTTTTGAAGGCCATTTCACATGTGTAACGGTGGCAGGAGATACGCCAATTCTCTCAACGAAAGGCTGATTGAATTATGTTACACATTTGTAACGGTGACACCTTAGTATAGTTTCTAGGTGTATTAGAGGGTATTCTCATATTAGTCAATATAACTATTTGAATAGTCATAGTGATCGTTGTTGTAGCTACTAAATTTCGGATCTTCACTTACGCTATGATACTATAAGAAGAAATTACAGGAATGGTATTAAATTGCAGCAGATGCTATGTCGCACAGATAAATGTGTTTTTTATTGCAATAATTTGTGATCTATTACTACTTCAAGCGATGTGGTGTGGACACATCTCAGGGACTTTTTTCCAGACTAGGCGACGATTTATGGTTCACTTCATATATATTAACTATTCCCAGTAGCTCAATGATAGTCATACGGTTACTCTAAAATCTTGAGGTAGATCTCGTGAATTTTAACATCTAATAACAATAATAGTAGCCATCATTATCACGAGTTTTTGTAAAGCGTTCTTTGCTTGACGTTATATTAGAATGTGTGATTATGTAAATCAATTTAATACTACATTAGAATTTTTTACCATTTTTGCTTCCTTCATCAAAAAGTCCTCTGAGGAGAGTCAGGCTCTTGGATCTCGTTTCCGGGGTTTCGTCGAGGTGCCATCCTCTCTAACTCTGGAATCAGATATGGCACTATTTCGATAGCGTCTTCTTCGTCCCACTTGTCGCTGGCTTCTATTGCGCTCATCAAACACTCCAAACTTGACGAGCCCACGACACGCCAAAATCTTGAAAGGCAAAATGATAATTATGCACGTAATAGCTTATGGTAAGTGGAAAACCTATTCATACATTTTATGAATATGAATGAAATGGGTCATGTTTCGTATGCGTATTCGCGGGGAGTCTGCATCGAAAAACCAGTGTGCCAAAACAAAACCGGACATGTTTCTTTCCTTGGTTACACTATTGGGTCTTACCATCTCTATGATTTATAAAAGTTTGCAACAAACATCTTAAATACGCTGTCGTTTTGGCATGGTGCTGGATGGCACTATTTAATGAACGTTAAGTGCTGTCTACTCCCGGTTTAGCCAAGGAACGCTGCTTGGTTAGTAATCCCTGAAAAAAGCGATCTTAAGGCCTGTCGTTTGGGCTTGTAGTTTAAAGAAATAGCCTTACAGTAGAAACCGACTACAATCGCGGCAAGATGGGCCAAAAAATGTATAAGTATACTAAAAATGCGTGTCCTTCTTTTGGGTTGAATTAAAAACCGTATCAGGCGAAATAAACGGCATATATAGGCGAAACATGGAAACGAGTCGGTAATAATAAGCCCCTTTTTTAAGAATATCTTTTTTCATACGAATACTCGTTAATCGGTAGGCTCTTCCTCTTGGGCTTTGTTATGATTATTTTTTGTCCTAAAGCTAGGCTACATGTAACGTAAACATATGATTGAAGTTTTTCAAACATCAGGCAGCTTTTATCGCATTCAATGTTACATAAAGCGATTTCTAATGATATTTTGTGATTTCGCAACCACTTTTTACCAAAAAGGAAAAAGTTGAATGATCTTAAAAATTTGAAAATTCTCACTGCAACGCGAGGAGTTTCTTAGTTGTATAAATAGGACTGGGAAAAGCAGAAAAAAAAATAGCGAATTGTTTATTTCGGAAGTTCAGTGAAATACAAAAGAAGATTAAGTATGCGTAAAGTTTTTTTTCATTAAAAAATACATTATAAATAAACGTATGGGATGTTTTTTGTTGATGGTATGTTTAGCTTGGGACCTACTGAAAAAAACAACTGTTCTGTCGAATAAGCTTGCTATTTTATAAATACCATAAACAAAAATTCCTAATGGTCAGATGCTTTACGTTAGATTTAGTACGGCTATGTTTGACATATTTGCTCATCGGGTGTATTATTATAGCTACAGGTCGGCAATTTGGGTACAATACATTTTGCGAACACATCCAGTGCGATACGTAACGGAGAATCCAAGCAATATTACTTATCCAGAAACAAGTATCTCACAAGCGCTCGCAAAGCCGCAGAGAATCTCTCACAGTTATACAAATACAACTATCAAACGGCGAGTTAAAAACCTTGATAGTTAAAAATGGGTATATCGCATACGAGGATGAAAGCACTAGTGAACAAATTTGTGTTCTTTGACGGGATACCCCGGTGCAAAGCTAAACAAGACCGCTCTAGTGACCCAAACAACTCGGTAAACCCAATAAATTTTCTTCTCCGATCGGTCTTTCAGAGGTAAAAATTATCTACTAAACAGGGGTTCTGCATGGAGGTTTCTAAAGGCATGATTATCAAGGATTTTTTAAGCAGCACATCGGTCTTCGTGGTCTTTGTATAAGCATCAAGTCTCCGGCTCTACAAGCTAAATGGAGCGCCGCTTAGCTCTTTGGCAGAGGAGCGCAAAGATTCAGAGACACGGCTGTCTTCCATCGTCACAAACGGAATTATAAAGGTGAGAGTGAAACTGATGTGGATATAACATGTAAAGTAGTCTCTATTCTATTCAAAATGCTGGGAAAAAAATCAATGCTGGATTAGAGCAGCATCACGGCTCAGTCAAAAAAGCCCGTATTCGCCTAATGCTGATGCTAAGCGAATGCGAAATGATCAACTCCGGTACGTTCAGCACCTCATTATTGAAGGATGATGACCCACGAAAGGTTTGCTCTTTATAGAACCCTGGATAAGGCCAAGCCTAGCATAGCAGGTTTTGTTGAAAATCAAACGCGTCATCGAGTGCCATCCTAAACACCAACGATATTTAACTTTAATCGTTAAAACATTTTCGGGAAATATATACGATATGTACGTAGAGATTTTTCCTATTTGGGCAAGTATATATAA